CTCCCGTCCCCGCGCGTGTGTCCCCCGTCACGCCCGGCTTATAAATCTGCTGAACATATATAGGCACACACATACAGGCATTTGGGCTCTAAATGAATTCTGGATGCATTTAGAGGTGTAAAAAACCCACCAATGGTAAAGAAATCCTGCAGGCATTTCACACCCACCAGCAGCACACGGGGCAGGGGGTCAGTTTGTCAAGGCGGTGTTTTTGCAGCTAACGGAAGAGCAACACGCAGGCACACGCAGAGGATGCTTGGGCAACAAGAGCTTTGCTCATTTTCAAAGGGGTACCCGACCCTTTGCCCATCTCTGAGGGCTCGTTGCCTTCGAGAGGTGCTCTGAGTGCTGCGAAGCTCCAAATTATAAAATAAACCCAAGCAGAATAATTCAACTCGGAATTTTCACGTTATTATTTGGTTCTGCTTTGCCCGCGTGCTGAGCTGCTCTCGGAAAGGCGGCCGCTGAACAGAAGCAGGAGTGTGTCGCAGGGAGCAGAGATGGCTGTGGTGTGAGCCCTGGCTGGGCTTGGAGTGGGACCAGTCTGCACTGGGAGCTCCCCGCTTCCTTCTTACTGCTCTGAGATAAAGGCTGAGCTTAGCACTGCCACGGGGACGGTCACCTTCCGGCGGTACCGCTCACAGGCCATATTTTCCACTCTAAAATATCGGTGTGGTTTTGCAATGGCTTAGGAGAACTGCTTTGGCAGAAGGGGAAACCGAGGCACGGAGCAGCGCAACCAACCCAAGTGAGCACGACCTGCCCACTGCACCCAGTTAATGCAGGAAACGGTTACTGGTTCGGAGTCACTGTCCAGCACTAGGATGCCCTGGGACCCACGAGCATCTCTGCAGGTGCAACATTCATGATACCTCCCTGGCGTTTTGGGGTGGCTGAAATGGGATTTCTTTAATACTGCCCCGTTTCAGAGCAAAAGGGGTGCTGCTGGCCGCGGCCGTTGGCCTGCGGATGTTCCGGAGCAGCCGGGCCGGTGCGTCTTGCCACAACTTTGCGGTCCGGTGCGTCTTGCCAAACCTTGGCAGCGGCGGCAAGGAGAGCGGTCCCAGGCTGTGTGTGTGAAACCTCTCTCTCGATCGTGCGAGAGCAGTGACTAAGAGTCTTGGGGGCTGCGTTTCTCCAGCGCTTGCTCCTCCTGGGCTGCACTGCTCGGGTCCTTGCTCCTCCTCACCCGTGGAGAGCCGCCCCTTGGGCCCTGACTCAGTTGGCTCCTGGCTTTTTCCATCTTTCCTTCCCTCCAGCACGTCTCTCTCCCGGCACCTCCTGCGCTGGCAACTGCGCGAGCGTGTGCTTAGAAATTCCCCCCCAAGTTTTTAGGATCTTTTCCATGTTGCATCGATGCCCACAGGACCTTGGCTCCTGTGTCTAGTCCAGTCTCAGAGAAAATTTGGTCCCTAGGGTAGCTGCTGTCCCAGCTGGAGTGTAAAACTCTTCTTTGTCCCCATGGGAAACTGCGCTGCTTGTCATTTTACCTCTACTTCCAAACTCTGCTCACTTGTAGCTCCTCATTATTTTTCCCTTTGCAGCCTGACTTGTGGGGTCCTGACCTCACTTCCACTGGGATTTCCAGGCCAGTGACCCCCGTAGGGTCATGGCTTTTTTTGGGAACACCCATCCCAAGCTGTTGAGCACATGTTGAGATCATGTAGGTCATCAGTGGTTTCTGGAGAACTTGCTTGGTGGGGATTTTGGTGCTGTACTGGTGGCCACTGGGTATATTACAGACACTTTATTTTTAAGACCGTTTTGGAAAAAAATCTTGAGCTTGGATCAGAGACCAAAGCTGAGATAAGACATCTCAGGTCAGATCTTCAGCAGACACAAAACTGGAGCAGCACTATTGACTTTGGGGGGGGATGATGGTTGGCACCAGCTGTGAACTTGACTCTCCTATTTTTAGAGGTTGCTTTTGCTCCTGGGGCTAAATCAGATCTCACCTACACAGCTCATACAGCAGGGCTGTTTCATTGCCTGAGTCTTTGCAGGGTCCCACTCTCTTCCTTGGTAATTTTTTTCTTCCTACTTTGCTTTGAGTTTAAGTTTTTACTCTTCGAGTTTTCCTGAGATTCCCCATATGGGAGATTTCCCATACAGGGAAACTCAGGAGGGTCACTCAGCCCTCAGCTGAAAAGCAGATAATTTTGGCCGTGCCACTACTGTATAGACACACTTGTTCGGTTAAACCGGCCTTGATTTAAGATCCCACTTTTTTGTTGGATTTGCTTCCCAATTTGCACGTGGCTGATGGGCGAGGGCTGCCTTCGGAGCTGCCACCAGCGGGGCAGCATCACCACGCGTGGTCCAGAGCGGTCTGATCTGGGGGTACGGGGCATCTCAGCCCATCCCCGGGCAGATGTCTGTCACTGAGGGGGGAGAATCATCTTGAACAGGCTGCCCAGGGAGGTGGTGGAGTCACCATCACTGGAAGCGTTCAAAAAACGTGTAGACGTGGCAGTTGGGGACATGGTTTAGTGGGCTTGGTGGTGTTGGGTTAACGGTTGGACTTGATCTTAAAGGTCTTTTCCAACCTTAATGATTCTGTGATTCTGTCTTCCAGAGGCTTCTCCATCAATTAAAGCCTGGCTTAAACTTCACACCTAACTTTTGGAGGGCTGATGCTTTTTGTGCTGGACCCACATGGGTTTGCCCTTGGGGACGCCCCTCAAGGATGCTCTCAGCAGGCTCAGGGCTGCCGGCACGTTACTGTCGGTGTCTGGGGCCGGGTTTTTCTCAGGCGTGACTCAGGCTGTCTCTGCTGCTGATTCACTCCAGCCGAGGACGCGGGCTGTCGCCTCGAGCAGGCTCACGGTGCGGCTGCCTGCGGAATGCAGCCGGTCCGGTGGATTCGGCAGCAAAAGGTCTCATCCTGCTCTGTGCAGGCAGGGTGGGTTAGCAGCAAAGGGTGCTGTAGCAGGATCTGCTCCCAGGACGCCAAACCCGCTGGGCTTTTGTGGTCAGGAAGGTAGAAGAAGAGCTTTTGTGCTCAGAAGCCTTTTTTTTTTTTTGGGGGCTCTTGG